TTTTTTTTGGATTACTTTTTCTAAATATGTCCACGTTTGAATTGTTGCCGTTTGAAACCTCTCATCTGTAATAGTTATTTTGTCATCAATGTAGTTTTTAATTTAGGAGTATTTTTTCCTTATTGAACACCTCAATTGCCATATGTTTTTTTTTTCTTTAACAGTTCTATTTGTAAAAGGACGTTTATGATAACGTTTTAAAACGGAAGTTAATCTGAGAAAGAAAAAAAAAGTTTCTTTGTTTTTTATATAATTTTTTCTTATTAAACTTTTCAAACAAAACATGTTTTCCTAATTGAATTCGGCTTCTTTTTTTTTCTTTTCTGCTGAGCCATAAATTGATAGCAAAATCAAAATATTATTGGAGTGGAAGATGGAAATGTCAAAAAATAAAAAATAAAAATAAGAAAAAAGATTTTTTTTAAATTCTGAAAAAAACTGATTAGGTTGGAGCACTTTTGATAGTTTTCACAAAATTTTTTTGAACATTTTGTGTTTATTTGTTAAGTTTTTTTATGGAAAAAAAAAATTTTTTTCAAATACATCTTGATGCAGGCTAAAATTGACTGCTTTTTTTTTTCTTCTAATACAATCAGGAACTTACAAAATAAGCATCTTGTTTTTGAATAATAAGTTTCTAAAGTTTGATGTACTTCTCGGAAAATTGCTTAGTGAATATGTGAATTTGTTACACAATTGTAGAAGTTTAGGCGATCAACTGGGAAACTTTAGGTAAAGTATTTGCTCGACAATAAACAGTAACAGCAGCGTTGTTTATAACACCTCTCAGTGTACATTCTTAGAATCCCCTGTTAGCTTGAAATTTTTTAGCATGATTTTTTCTTGTTCAAACAAAAAAAATCTTAGTTTGCTGCTGCTGTTATTGAAATTGTTATTGGCATTTCTGATACGGAACATTGATGAGAGAACACATATTAGTATTTGGTTATTCAGTTTGTTAGTTTCTTTTACCGTGTACTCTTTCTGCAGCACTTAATAAAATTTGTCGTACTTATTTTATTCTATTTTATTTACTTAATTTTTTTACTTCTATACAATTTACTCGGTGTAGCCGATTTTTGGTTTATATTTTTGCGTCAGAAACATTTTTTCTTTCTTTATTATAATTGATTTGCATTTTTCTTGTGTTAAGCTTTATTGGGCTTTTTGGATTTGGTTCTATTTCTCGTTTTTTTTTTTGTTTAGTTCAAACCCGTTCTGCATCATCAGCGAAACGAAAACCGGCTTCTCCAAGAAAAAGGCCAACAACTTTGCATGAGGTATTTTGTTCATTAAAGTTAAATTTTTATTGTAAATTATTTTAGGTAGCAAATTTTTTTTTGCTCAAGAAGATTTTCTATGATTATAGTACAAAAAACTGTTTAAACTGTAGTGCTCTTTCTTGCTTTTAGGGAGGCGCTTTAGCTGTAAATGCTGTTGAAACAAACAAGAAGGAAGCCATTATTACGGAAGAATCATTAAGAAAGGTCAAGACCCCAGACATCAGTTCATCGTCATCGATAAACGGTTCAACAACTTGTATACGTATTCGTTCTGTGCCGGCATTAAATCTGTTCTTGTATTTTGACCAACAGTTTAGTTGAAAATACATTGTAAAAACTGGAAAATTGCAGGTCCTCAAAATGAATGTCTATCGAATTTGACAACGTCGACTGCACCTCGGTCTTTTCCATTTCCTTGTGATCTTGCAGCGCTTACGGGTATTCAGGCTCTTGCTAACTTGAGTTCAGGCACAAGTGGCGAAACTGTTGCAGATTTAGAAAGGTATATGTTGATGACACATCATTTTTTGCACTTTTAATTGTGAAAATAAATTATTGTTCTCTATTTTTTGAGATTTTGTAAACATATCTGAATTATTTCTCTTTTTTTTTTTTTTTTTTTTTTTTTTTTTT